AATTTAGAAATACTTCCCATATATTGCCATACGTTTACATAATGATGAAGTAATAGTTTGTTTGATTCAAATTTGTACAAATAAAATATATAACGGATTAAATATATGACTAAAATTGTGATAATTGCCACGACTTTAGCCTTTTGTATGTTTTGTTGCCTTTGATTGACAATCCGATTGTCGTTCACATCGTATCTATAAAACAGCCAATTATTATATAACGGACTTTCAATATTAGATGACATTATTTAAATTAAAGAATATTATCTTGATTAAATTATATAATCCACAATATTTAATATAAATGCTAATATTAATTGTAATATTGGCACTTCAGTAATAGAATACTGTATATTAACTTATACTGTAAAAATAAATAATATTTATGATTGACCAAACTTTCAATATGGCAATTAGATGATTTTATTGTTTTATTTACTATAATAATACATTTTTTACGGCTGGTTAATTGCTTTTTGCATACATTAAATATTTGCATTAATCTGAAGTTTAATTATACTACAATGAATTTATATTTTTAACCACAATTCAGTATGAATAATGTGGTTTATAGGATCGAGTTGCCTTTGATTCACAATCCGATTGTCGTTCGCATCGTATCTATAAAACAGCCAATTATTATATAACGGACTCTCAATATGAGACGACATTATATTTAAATTAAAAAATATTATCTTGATTAAATTAGATAATCTACAATATTTAGTTTAAATATTAATTAAAATATTGGTAATTCAGTCGTAGTATCTTGTAAAAGTATATTATACAGTAAAAGTATACAATATTTAAAGTAAGCAATAGTAAAATCTTAATTTTTTTACTGAACTCTCAATATAGCAATTAAATGACATTTTGTAATTACTTATAATAATATTATAATGATTATAGAAGGTTAATTGCTTTTGTCATTTATTACATATTTGTATTAATATGAAGCTTAATTATACATTTAATTTCTTTAGTCTTACATAAATACGTTACCTAATTGTAATTGTATAAATTTAGTATTTCAAATAAAAATAAATTATATATCTACATTTACATAATATTTATATCATTTTACTAGTTTAGGTTTATTATAAATTGTGATTATGTAAAGCTTACGAGTGATATACATTCATATTTAGGTCCTGCTCATAATTAGACCAAAAAGACTTTATGATACGACTAATAATTAAGCCTAGGATTACTAGTTGCAAATTCATGCTTAATTTTAAATGCATGTATATGCTTGAATATAAATACACATAGGTGATAATTAAATGTGAAAAAAAGTTTGAAAAAAGTGACGAGGCGGTGATCGAACCCAGGGCCTTTAGAATTAGTAGCCAAAGCTCTACCAACTGAGCTATGCTGACAATGTTAAGTGTGTATCACTTAATAGTACTCTTTATAGATAACCTATTAATTTCAACATGCATGACTGTTTATAAACATGACATATAGTCAAATATGTTTTCCTATAAAACTAATGAATTGTATTGTGTCATTGTGTATGATATTGAGATGTGATTTTGTGACTAAATTATTTTCTGCACCTCTGGGTTGGGACAAAATTACGTCCACAAAATGACAAATTCAAGCAAAAGTGCTTAAATAGTTTTAAGAATTGGCAACTTTTAAGCATTTTGCAGGATTAGATTCACTAATTTTTTTATGCATGATTGTTACTCTGTATTTATTTTTACAGTGTAGCATTTTATACTAAATAATTTTATACAACTTTATGTCCAATATGTAAAATAAAATAATAAATATACATGTATACGTTTCATTCGAACACTATCTACATTGTACAATATAGATTCTACAATATTTATTATGTAATTTTGTTAATCAATTATATTTATACAAAAAAATACGAATGTACTTTACCTTATAATTCAATGTGAATAAACAATACTAAATTATGTTAATAAATCTATGTTTAACAAATAATGTTATACCATATTATTTAAAAGTGTGACAAATTTTTATAATTTGTATAAAAGTGACAAATTTATTATCATAAATTCAGTTTGTGTTCAATTGTCAAGACACAATGTCCAAAGCAATTATGTTGTGCATGGTCACTTTGATCATTTGCTGTGCAACTCGGTTTGTATTTGGTAAAGGTGAAGTTTCAAAACAATTGTGTGATGCTGAGAAAATAGACACCGATAAGGCGGCCAAAGTTCTTGAATGTCTCAATAATTTTAAAAATAACATTTCAACTGAAATTCAAACTCTTATCAAAAAAGTATGTTTATTTGTTTTATAACATGTTAATACTATTGTACAACAATAACAAATTACAAACTTAACTCAATAAAAAATTTATCTATTTATTGATACAAGGTAGATAAGATCTTACAGAAAGAGTGTCTAGAAAAGGCCGATGATATGAGCAAGTTTAAAAAGTTTATTGAAAACTGTGCCAAGGCCTATATAATGTTAAATGACCATTGGCGACTGTGCCAGGGCCTTTACAATGACCAGTGACCATTGACCACTGTGCCAAGGCCTGTTTTTTCTTACAACAAACATGTTACTATAACATCAAACTATGTAAACAGCCTATGAAATTTTTATTAATTAACATTTTCACAAATATATAAATTGAAAACTAAGTAACTCATATGCACAATTGTTTGTTGTATTAATATATCAAAAACACCATGTCTAAAGTACTAATATTGTGTACAATTATATTAACAATTTATAGCACAAATCAATTGACATTTATTAAGTGTGAAAGTTTTAGTAGAGGAACATTTTGCGATCATAATAGAACGGACACCAATATTGTTACCAAGGTAGTTGAATGTTGGAACAGTTTCAAAAATTCCGGCACGGTTGAAATGAAAACACTTTTTGAAAAAGTAAGTTTATTTAATTTGAAATTATATAACAAGTATAAATTGTTTATGTATTGAGTAATATAAAATGTTATGTATAAACCGCAACCTAGGCCAATAAAGCCATGGACAAAGAGTGTTTGGCAAAGGCGGGAGATATAAGTGGGTTCAAAAAAGTGGATTTGACCAAGGCCAATTTGAAACAAATATTAATTAACTTTTGCGATGAAAATTTTGGTAAATGTGTTGATGCGCTTTTGAAATCCGATAAAAAGTTGCAAGATGAATTAACGAAACATGAAAAGTCGACAGATAAGAAAGATTCTGATCAATTAGAGGTTTGTTTACTTTAACTAGTTGAATTTTAATGTTTTTATTTAACATATCGTAAAATTGATAATTATACTTTTCATGTACAGAAATGTTACACAAATGCTATCAAGAAATAAACAATCATATTGATTTGAATAATTTTAACTTCAAACTGGAATTAAACAAAAGAATTTTTATTATAATAAATATATACATTGCATTTAAATTAAATGTTTTTCAAAAATAATAAAGTATTTTAATTTTGTTTATTTATTTCTTTTAATATTTTATGTATTTACATTTAAATAAGAATTTATTTTTAAAAAATATGCACTTTTAATAATCATTGTGTGATATAAACTTTACATGGGTTTGTATAATACGGTATTGATTGTTTAATTATGTTAATAATTGTTTTTAAATAAATTATATTCTAACACTTAAAAATTACATAAAATACAAACAAAGAATTGTTTTGTATACCTAGAAATGTGAACATGCAATATTGTAAGGGCCTAATATTAAACAGATTAAGTTGCACCAAATATAGATGTAGATAAATATTTCTATTTTACAATTATTTTGTAAGACTGTTATAAAACGATCAATAAAATATATAATTAATATAATTACTAATTATATGTAATTAATTGTAATTATTTTTATACTATGTAGAACTTTTTATGGAGCTTTAAAATAAAATAATAATAGCAAGTGTTATATTTAAAAATTATTAAAATTTTATATTAATATTTATTAAGTAATTTCGCTAATTAATATTTTAAGTGACAATTTTATTTATTTAGCAAAAGTACAACATGTAATTATTCGATACATGCTAATACAATGTGAATACACAATATAATTATGTTAAACAATGAATTAGACGTCATAATATTTAAATGTATAGATAATATATAATATTTAACAATTCACATAATATAAATGTCGCTTTACTACTACAAAGCGCAATCTGTTTTAATTTATCAATACACCATGTCTAAAGTTATATTTTCGTGCATTTTAATGATTTGCTGCGCAAATTATTTGGTATTGTGTGAAGATGATGTTACAAAACTATTGTGCGATTCTGACAAAGTAGACACCGATAAAGTGACCAAAGTTTTGGAATGTCTTAATAATTACAAAAATAGCTTTTCGACTGAAATGAAAGCTCTTGATAAAAGTGTATGCTTAAGATGTTTATAGCTTAATTATATTTTTGTACCATCAAATATAAATTTGAATTAAATGTCAAATAAATATTATATATATACTTTATATTTATTTATTTCTCCAAACAAGGTGGAGAAGACTGTTCAAAAAGAGTGTCTAGGGAAAGCAGGTGACATGAGCAAGTTCAAAAAGGTTGATCTGACCAAGCTTGGTTTAAAGCAAATGTTGATTGAAAGTTGCGATGATGGTTATCATAAATGTAGGGGTGCACTTGAGAAGTCCGATAAAAAGTTGCATGATGATTCAGTAAAAGTTGGAAAATCCGCAGATGAAAAGGACTTTAGGAAATTATTGGTATTGTTTGTTCATCTATATTGAATTTATTAAACATATGTTTATAAATTATAATTGATTTGTTTAGAAATGCGCATTGGATATACTAAAAAAATAATATATCAAGGTAATATTAACTATATTTAAATCGTTGACTGAACTACAATTATTATTTTCATTAAAAAGACATGACATTATAGCGCAAAAAGTAAAATTTTATTGTTATAATTTATAAAATTTTGTTATCGAAATAAATATATTTTTAGTTACTTTAGTTAAAAAGTTTAATTTGTTCAAATAAAATAATATATCTTTACATTTACATGCTTTAGTTGAGTACTACAATGTATTTACAATGTTATGTAATTTTGTTAGTCAATTATATTTATTCAACAAAATACAAATGTATCAATACTTTACCTGATAATTCAATGTGAATAAACAATACATAATAATAAATCTATGTTTAACAAGTGTTATATTATCGTATTATTTAAAAGCGTGAAGAAATTTTATAATTTGTATAAAAGTGACAAATTTATTACCACAAAATACAGTTTGTGTTTAATTTATCAAGACACAATGTCCAAAGCATTCATTTTGTGTATGGTCACTTTGATCATTTGCTGTGCAACTCGGTTGGTATTTGCTAAGGGTGAAATTTCAAGACAATTGTGTGATGCTGAGAAAATAGACACCGATAAGGCGACCAAAGTATTTGAGTGTCTTAATAATTTTAAAAATAACATTTCAACTGAAATTCAAACTCTTATCAAAAAAGTATGTTAATTTGTTTTATAACATGTTAATATTATTGTACAACAATAACAAATTACAAACTTAACTCAATAAAAAATTTATCTATTTATTGATACAAGGTAGATAAGATCTTACAGAAAGAGTGTCTAGAAAAGGCCGATGATATGAGCAAGTTTAAAAACGTTGACATGACCAATGTTGGTTTAAAGCAAATGATGATTGATGTGTGCGCTGAGAGTTATGGTAAATGTATTGACGAGCTCGAGAAGAAAGATAAGAAGTTGCATGATGAAATGGAAAAGGTTGAAAAGTCTATTGACCAAACAGAGGTTAAGAAATTAAAGGTTTGGATTGGTTTAATTAATTATATTTTATAATTTGTTTGTAAATATATAATATTTATAACTTTTCATTATATTTGTTTAGAAATGCGCTCTGGATGTATTTAAAAATTAAATATCAAGATAAATTTATTTACATCACAAAATGGACTTTAAAATAATTTTCTTTACAAAATTATAAAATAATTGTATTATCTGGAATTGTTATTATAATTATATTGTTATATCTAAAATAAAATATTATAATTTTGTTTTAAATTGAAAGTAACTTCTAGTAAAATTATATTATAACTGATTATAATTAATTTAAATATTATTTGCATTGATATATTGATTAATAATTATATTGTTATATCTAAAATAAAATATTATAATTTTGTTTTAAATTGAAAGTAACTTCTAGTAAAATTATATTATAACTGATTATAATTAATTTAAATATTATTTGCATTGATATATTGATTTTTGTTATATAATGCTGTCAGTCATTCTTTAGAAAATGCAGTTATATTTATTCAGCAAAATTGAAACTGTAATTGTTCTATAAGTGGTAATTCAATATGAATAAACAATATAATAATCAGACAATGTAATTCAATAGATATTACGACACCTTTAATTTAAATATATGGCTACATTACATTAGTTTAATTTGGGATAAAAGTCGTAAATTTATTACAACAAAATAGAGAAGTTTTAAATTTATTAAATTTATAATTAGTTGTAAATTATTCACCACACAATGTTTAAGGAAGTAATTTTGTGTATGGTCATCTTAATGACTTGTTGTGAAAACCAGTTGGTATTGGCTGAGGGTGAAGTTAGAAAACTATTGTGTGATGCTGAGAAAGTAGACACCGATAAAGTGACTAAAGTTGTTGAATGTCTTAACAATTTTAGAAATAAACGTTCGGCTGATATGAAAGCTCTCGAGGAAAAGGTATGTAATTTTAGTTTATATTATAAACTTATAATAACTTTACTCTAATTATAAACATTACAATATATGTAAAACCAAGACGTCCCAAAAGATAGACGTTGCCTCTATGCTCCCATAGACAATACATTACAGTTTACCCTCAAATAATTAAAATTTGTATTTATCAATAATAGGCTGCAGTGACCGTTCAAAAAGAGTGTATAGGAAAGGCGGGCGATATAAGTAAGTTTAAAAAGGTTGATCTGACCAAGCACGATTTAAAACAAATATTGATTGAAACTTGCGACGAGGCTTATCAAAAATGTTCGGGTGAGCTCATACAGTCGACCAAAACATTGCAAGATGCGTTGATTAAAGTTGGAAAGTCTACAGATGAGAGCGAGTCGAAGAAATTAACGGTTCATTTATTTGTATTTTGTAACTTTATTAAATATTTATTAAATATATTTTATTTGTCTAGAAATGCGCTTTGGATGTACTCAAGAAATAATATCAAACAATCAAACTTTATTGAATCTCTATCAACAAAATGCTGTTTTACATAGAAATCAGTTATGAAAATATAATTTAAAATTAATTCTAAAATTTGTATAAAAGTTATTTATCGTTAGTTAATCAAAATATATCAAATTATATTAATACATTGTCTAATAAAATTGTTAAATGAATGTCAGAATTATTATATTTATTATAAATAAATAAAATATAAAATTATTGTTTTATATACTGTAAAATAGAATTTTTTAATTTTTGTATTACATAATATGGCTAGATGTTCAAATAATTAATGTAATGCTAAATTATAAATGTGAAAAAGTTAAAGATTCTATTAACTAAACAGAGGCCCAAAAATTAAAGGTTGGGTTTGTTTTACTTAATTAATTTTTATAATTCATTAGAATATATACTGTATATATCTAGATGTATATATCTTTATATTAGTGGATGTATTTATTTATTTCTTATAACGTTATATTTTATTTATTTATTAATGAGCTTTTAATTTATTTAACAAATAAAATATCAAGATAATACTGAATTTATTTAAATCGCAAAATGGACTTTGAAATAATTGTTTTTATAATCTGTAATTATTATCATAATTGTAATATTTAAAGTAAAATATTTTAATTTTATTTTAAATTTAAACTATTAATTATAATTAATTTAAGTATTATCTCCAATTTATATATTGATTTTTATTATATAATGTTGTCAATCAATTTATAAAATTCAATTATATTTATTCAGCAAAAGTGAAACTGTAATTATTCTATACCTGGTAATTCAATATGAATAAACAATATAACAGACAATGTAAAACAATGGATATTACGACATCTTATTTAAATATATTGCTACATTATATTAGTTTAATTTGGGATAAAAGTTGCAAATTAATTACCACAAAACAGATTAGTTTAAAATTTTTCACCACACAATGTGTAAGGAAGTAATTTTGTGTATGGTCATTTTAATGACTTGTTGTGCAAATCAATTGGTGATGGGGGCTGAGAATGAAGTTGCAAAACTATTTTGTGATGCTGAGAAAGTAGATACCGATAAAGTGACTAAAGTTGTTGAATGTCTTAACAGTTTGAAAAATAAACGGTCGGCTGACATGAAAGCTCTCGGAGAAAAAGTATGTAATTTTAGTTTATATTATAAACTTATAATATATGTAAAACCATGACGTCCTAAAAGGTAGGCTTTCCCTATATGCTCCCATAGACAATACATTACAGTTCACACTCATTTACCCGCATAGGGAAACGTTGTGTAAAATTATAGCAAAATTTTTATTTATCAATAATAGGTGGAGAAGACCTTTCAAAAAGAGTGTATAGGAAAGGCGGGTGATATTAGTAAGTTCAAAAAGGTTGATCTGACCAAGCTTAGTTTGAAGCAAATGTTGCTTGAAATTTGCGACGAGGCTTATCAAAAATGTGCAGGTGCACTCGAAAAGTCTGATAAAAAATTACATGATGATTCAATAAAAGTTGAAAAGTCCACAGATCACAAAGAATGGGAGAAATTAGAGGTATATTTATTTGTATTTTGTAACTTTATTAAAGATCTATTAAATATATTTTATTTTCCTAGAAATGCGCTTCGGATGTAGTCAAGAAATAATATATCAAATAGTATTAATTAAAGTCTATTTAAATTGTTAAATAAAGGTCAGAATTACAATATTTATTCTAAATTAATAAAATATAAAATTATTGTTTTACAGTGCAACTTCTCTTGGGTGAACTTCTCTTGGCTGAACACCTCCTTTGAATGAACGGTTTTGAGATATATTTTGGATTTTCTATACCTATAACAGAACCTCCCTTGGATGAACCCTCCCTATAATAAACACTTTTGTCGTGCAACTGGCCGTTCATTATAGAGAAGTTGCACTGTATATACAAATTAAAATGTTTTAAATTTTTGTATCACATAATATGGCTAGATGTTCAAATAATTAATATAATGCTAAATCATGTATCGATCAACAGTATCTTAATATATAAATTAATATAGAAAATTTAACTCAACACACAAAAATTAATTCAATATTAATTTAGAAATTTTCTTATTTATTATAAAAACAAAAATATATATTAAATAGAAAATTAATAAAATCGTTAAATACTTTTATTATTTTGATAGTTTATTTTACGGTAAAATTATTAATGTTATATAATTTAATGTAAGTGTAAACTTAAGTTATAATTTAATATAAAATATTTATATTATTAAAAGATTAATTAGTAATTTTATTTAAATAAATTGCGGAAAATAATTAAAATAATGAATAAATGATTTTTTTTAATTAAACGCCGTTATTTTGGTGTAGAAAGAATATAAAATATGTTTATAGTAATTATATTGTGCATGGTGATTTTAGTGGCCTATGATGGGTCACAGTTGCCATCAGTTGAGACAGTTGAGTTTCTCACACAATTTTGTAGCCCAAACAAAACCGATTCACCTATTGTTACCGATTGATGGCGATAATAATTACAAGAAAACAATGAAAATAATTGTTTTTATTATCTGGAATTGTTATTATAATTATATTGTAACTTTTAATAAAATAATATTATAATAAAATAATAATAGATTATAATTAATTTAAGTATTATTTACAATTCATATATTGATTTTAATTATATAATGTTGTCATTCTTTAAAATGCAGTTATATTTATTTAGCAAACTTGAAACTGTAATTATTCTATTCTATAATAAAATTCAATGTGAATAAACAATATAATAATCAGACAATGGAAAACAATGGATATTACGACATATTATTTAAATATATGTCTAAATTGCATTTGGTTAATTTGGGATAAAAGTCGCAAATTTATTACCACAAAACAGATTATTTAATAGTTTTAAATTATTTTAAATTTAAATATAAAATCAGTTTTATATTTCTCACCACACAATGTGTAAAGCAGTAATTTTGTGTATGGTCATTTTAATGACTTGTGCAAATCACTTGGTATTGGCTGAAAGTGAAGTTGGTAAACTATGGTGTGATGCTGAGAAAGTAGACACCGATAAAGTGACTAAACTTGTTGAATGTTTTAAAAATTTTAAGAATAAATGGTCGGCTGATATGCAGGCTCTCGGGAAAAAGGCATGTAATTTTAATTTATATTAAAAACTATAAAAATATATGTTAAACCAGAAAACGTCAGAAAAGGTAGACTTTGCCAATGCTTTCATAGACAATACAACATAATTTACCCTCATTTACCCGCACTAGGATACTTTAATAATTAAAATAATTAAAATTTTTATTTATTAATAATAGTTAGATAAGACCTTTCATACAAAGTGTATGGGAAAGGCAGGTGATATAAGTAGGTTTACAAAAGTTGATCTGACCAAGCACGATTTAAAACAAATGATGATTGAATCTTGTGACGAGGCTTATCAAAAATGTTCGAGTGAGCTTGTAGAGTCGAGCAAAACATTGCAAGATGAGTTGATAAAAATTCACAAGTCCGCAGATGAAAGCGAACACAAGAAATATAAGGTTCATTAATTTTTATTTTGTAACTTTATTAAATATCTTTATAAATATATTTTATTTGTCTAGAAATGCACTTTGGATGTACTCAAGAAATAATATATAAAATAATATTAATTAAAGTTTGTTTAATATGTTAAATGAATGTCAGAATTATTATATTTATTCTAAATTAATAAAAATAATTGTTTTATATAAAGTGTATATTATAACATAACATATTATAACAAAAAGTATTAATTTTGTTTGAAATTTAAAGTTACGTTAGTAAAATAATATCATAATTAAATAATAATATTATATGATTTATATATGTATTAATTTACATAATGTATGTAAATGTAAAATGAAAACCTTAAATTAAATACTATTTTTATTAAAATAATAAATTTCATCTATTTGTGAAATAAATTCAATAGAATTTAATTATCATTTAATTAACATAACTTAAATAATGTACACAAACACTGCCTACAAATACACACCCATTCCCAGAATATATTGCACCTCAAAAATAGCCAAATGTGGTCTAAAGTGACCCAATTTGGTCCCCATTTAAGTCCCATTCTGTACAACACATACACACAGTCTTTACGAAAATGTATTTTTATTAATTAAATAAATTATAAAAAAAATCGAATATACAAAAATTATTTAAATTGCAAAATGGACCATAAAATAATTTATTTCATTGCCTATAATTATTAATATAAATATAATTTCTGAAATAAAAGTTTTAATTTAAAGTAACTTTTAGTAAAATGATATTAATATAAAGTTATATATAATAAAATAATAATAGAATCTAATTTATTTAAGTATAATTTACAATTTGTATAAATTTATATAAATGTTGATTATATAATATTTATAATTCTTTACAATTCAGTTATATTTATTCAGTTAAATTAAAGCTGTAATTATTCTATACCTGGTAATTCAATATGAATAAACAGTATAATAATTAGATAATGTAAAACAATGGATATTACAACATATTATATAAATATATGGCTACATTACATTATTTCAATTTGGGATAAAAGTCGCAAATTTATTGCCACATAATAGATTAGTTTTAAATATCTCACCACACAATGTGTAAAGAAGTAATTTTGTGTATGGTCATTTTAGTGATTTGTGCAAATCATTTGGTATTGGGTGGTGAGGGTGAAGTTGGAAAACTATTGTGTGATGCTGAAAAAGTAGACACCGATAAAGTGACTAAAGTTGTTGAATGTCTTAACAATTTCAAAAATAAACGGTCGGCTGATATGAAAGCTCTCGAGGAAAAGGTATGTACTTTTAGTTTATATTATAAAATAATATATGAAAACGTCCTAAAAGGTAGGGGTTGCATATATGTTCCCATAGACAATAGATTACAGTTTACTCTCATTTACCTGCACTGGCAAACGCGGTGTAAAACCCTAGCAAATAATTAAAATTTTTATTTATCAATAATAGGTGGAGAAGTCCTTTCATAAAGAGTGTACCGGAAAGGCGGGCGATATGAGTCAGTTTAAAAAAGTTGATCTGACCAAGCACGATTTAAAACAAATGTTGATTAAAATTTGCGACGAGGGTTATCAAAAATGTGCAGGTGCACTTGAAAATTCTGATAAGAAATTGCATGAAGATTCAATAAAAGTTGAAAAGGCCACAAGCCACAGCGAGTGGGAGAAATTAAACGTTCGTTTATTTTATTTTGTAACTTTATTAAATATCTATTAAATATATTTTATTTGTCTAGAAATGCGCCTTGGACGTACTCAAGAAATAATATATCAAATAATATCAATTAAATTCTATTTAAATTGTTTAATAAATGTCAGAATTATTATATTTATTCTAAATTAATAAATTATAAAATTATTGTTTAACATATTAAATAAAATGTTTCTAATTTTTGTATTAAATAATATAGTTAGATGTTCAAATAATTAATGTAATGCTAAATCATAGATGTATTCATAAACAATATATTAATATATAAATTAAAATAGAAAATCTAAATCAACACGAAAATTAAATTTTTAATATTAATTTCTAAATTTTCTTATTTATGTTAAACACAAAAATATACATTAAATAGAAATTAATAAAATTGTAAAATAATTTTATTATTTTTATAGTTTATTTTTATGGCAAAAATTATTAATGTTATTTAATTCAATGTAAGTGTAAACTTAAGTCTTATTTTAATATTAAAAATTCCATGTTATTAATAGATGCCAACCATTTTTATAATTTAATAAATTAATAAAATATAAAAACATATTTCTACAAGAATTCATGTAAAGTAGTGGTAATTACATCAATAAAATGAAATGTTAAGTTAATGTGTATAAATCAAGTAGTCTATTCTTCATATATGAATTGTGATTAAACATGTGAATAAACAACTAACTTAATTAGTAATTTTATTATAATAAATTGCGGATAATATTTGAAATAATGAATAAATGATTGTATAAATAAAAGTGTACTCATAAATTAAACGCCATTATTTTGTTGTAGAAAGTATATAAAACATGGTTATGGTAATTATATTGTGCATGGTGATTTTAGTGGCCTATGATGGGTCACAGTTGGCATCAGCTGAGACTGTGGAGTTTTCCACCCAATTTTGCAGCCCAAACAAAACCGACTCAACTATTGTGACCAAGGTGATTGATTGCGATAGTAATTATAGGAAATCAATGTTGGCCGAACAGAAAGAATTATGTACAAAAGTATAAACTATTGAAATTAATATAAAATTTGATTAGTAATGATTAGATTATATTCATATTCTAGTTGGAAAAAGAATTAAATAAGGAGTGTATGAAAAAGGCAAGCGATATGAGTGCCTACAAAAATGTGGACCTTACCAAGGACCATTTAAAGACCATGTTGATTCAGGCGTGTAACCTGGATTTTCACAAGTGCATGCAAGATTTACTAGTTAGTAATACTGAATTGGCTGAGAAGGTTAAAAAATTGGAAAATTTTAAGAATCAAAAGGAGTTTGATAAAATGGAGGTAACGTATATATGAGCTAATTAATGTTACTTTACTTTTAATTTAATTATATGTCAAATTTTACAGAAATGCTCCATGGACGCTTTTAAAAAATAAATGATCACGGTGTTATATCATTAAATATAAACCACAATATTTATAAACTATTTATGGTGTATGTATCAAAGTTACTATGAAATAAATATTTTTTAACGTTGACAAAAATGTAATAATTCTATCAATAACACTGAATTTTATAAATCAATTTACTTTTCCAATAAATTAAAGCAAACTGTAATAACATTGTAAATTAATATTTAATATATAGTATTGAATAAATTTTACACTTAACTACCATTCATTCTACATTCATTTTAGATCATGCATTTTTTAAATTAGAAAATAACTAACTTTAATAATTATTAAATTTTGCGTTAATAAGTACTAAAAAATTATCACAGGAAAATCAAATGTATAATTCACATAAATGTATTATACATTTTAATATATTTTAAAGTTTAAAATTTAAACCAATGTTTCTTATTTTCTTATTTGAAAATTATTTACCACTTATTTTATTGTTATTTTAATTGTAAATAATTTTTAAGGGATTTAGAAATACAGAACAATACCATGATATATCTCTTGTTTTATATTTATAATATAACAATAATAATATAATTTTTAAACAATCAAATTATATATAATAGTAAAATATTAAAGTTTCTAACCTCTCTAATTTTACATTTATTAATTAACTGAATTAAACATGACTATTGATTACTAGAAACTTTAATAACTTATTTATTAAATGATTAATTTTTAATTCCAGGAATTAGAATATGAAACTTATAACCGCAATTATATTTATATTGAATAGTAAATGAGTATTTATTCAATAAAATATAAAACCGGAATTATTTACACAGAATGTACAAAAATGTATTACATAATGATCAGACATTTGTCTATTTGTAAAATAAAATGAAATTGCGGACTTTTGTACACATTATTAATATTTCATATTTAACAGTGTAATAAATAAAATGTGAATAAACATTATTTTACTAAATACAGTTTAAAATCTATTACATTAAATAATCGAAATTGTGCATCAAATAATATAATAAGGTATAAATAGTCGTACCTTCACATGTCCAAACCACAAAATTATTTAAAATTAATTTTAAAATATACTAAACATGGCAAAAGTAATTATTGTGTGCTTGGTTATTTTAGTAGTTTATGATGGATCACAGTTGGTTAGAGCTGATGCTGATGTGTTTGCGAAACAATTTTGCAACCCTGATAAAACGGATTCAGCAATTGTGACCAAGGTGGTTGAATGTGATACTAATTTCAAAAAGGCAGTCTCACAAGAAGTGAGAACTCTTGGCGAAAAAGTATGATAATATAATTTATTATTAATAATTATTATTAATTTCCTATTTAATACATTATCAATTATTGAATTAATTTAGCTTGATAAAGCAACAAATGCAGAGTGTTTAAAAAAGGCAGGTGATATGAGCGCATACAAGAAGGTTGATTTGACCAAGGCAGATTTAAAGGAAATGTTGATTGAAATGTGCGATACTGATTTTAACAGTTGTGTTAAAAAGCTCATCGAAGCTGATTCCAAGTTATCCGATGATATGAAAAAATTAGCTAAGCTCAAAGATCAAAAGGAGTATGATAAATATGAGGTAATGGATTAGCATGATATATTTTAATTGATTTTATGTTAATTTGATTTTTGTAATATTCTCAGAAATGCACAATGGACGCAGTTACGAAATAATTGGTTATGGTCATATCAGTGTAACATTTATGCTTACAATGCTTACATCTATGCTTATCCATGTTGTTAGTTTAACATGGACATATTTTTAAGTTAATATGATAATGATTTATACAGAATTATAAATTTTTAAATTAAAATAAATATTTAATTCAATAGTGTTTTATAAATATTGTGAAATTTTAAATATAATTATATGTCTTATGATTTGCCTTTTGATAAATGAACATTAAAATGCACAAAATTTAATTATATAATATAATTAACAGTTAATATTGTTAATGATTAATGTTTAATTAAAATATATTTAACCATTATTATATTCATTATTATTAGTTGCAAAATAAATTGATTTTAAAACTGAAAGTAAAATATGAATAAACATTGGAGCAATAAATGTATGTAAAACAAAAAACACCACGTCATAAAACTTGAAATAATACAACATAACAATTAACAATGGTATAAAACTTCCTCATTTAAATAATACAAATCACAATTAATTTTTACACTAACCTAATTACAAATAACATGTCTAAAACAATTGTTTTGTGCGTGATAACTATTGTGACTTACAGCGCTGGTCATTTCTCATTGGTTGAGGCTAGTGGTAAATTTGAAAAAGTATTTTGCGATCCTGCTAAAACAGACTCTGCTATTGTAGCAAAAGTAGTTAAATGTAACACTAATTTCAAAACATCAGGCACCGCCGAACGAAAAGCTCTTGGTGAAAAAGTCTGTTCATTTTATTTTTTAGATAATTATATTTAAATATGCTTATGAATTACTAATTAACTGGCAAATAAATAAATAATGATTTGATTTTATTTATACTAGGTTGATAAGATTCTCCATGATAAATGTTTAGGAAAGGCCGGTGATATGAGCAAATTTAAAAAAGTAGATCTGACCAAGGCAGATTTAAAAACCATGTTGATTGAGGTGTGCGATGATGGGTACCTTAAATGTCATGATGCGCTCATGGATTCCGATAAGAAAGTGCATGATGATTTAGATAAAATTGATCATCTTACAGATAGCAAGGAGTACAAAAAATTGGAGGTTTGTTTGCGTTACCTAGTTCAATATGATTTAAATAATCAATAACTATGTTTTTAACGACATAGAAATGCGATTATGCTGCAATTAAGAAGTAAATGATTGGAAGGCTTTTAAAATTGATGTTGGTTACAAACTAAATTTGGGAATTATTACTACAATAGTTTTATCTAATCCAATGTATCGTTTATTTTTAAAAATAAATTGAGTATTTATATTTGAATGCTTATTATAAACAAATATTTATTAAATATTTTATAAATTTAATAATATTAATATATTATATTTATTTTTAAAAATTTTATTTCAATCATATAACAATTATTTAAATTCAAAGATATATTTATTAAAAGTATCGAGTTAAAAATTCACCAA